GCATCGACCCCCCAAAAACCTGGGACCTTAAAAGAAATTTACTTGCAAACACATAGAAAATGTTGTGCCCGATATAGTTCAACTTTTGATAGGTTTATAATTACTGTGTTTTGCCTTAAGACAAGTCGTTTAAGGCGAAACGGCGTTTCCAGTTTTCGTGACCTGTGTGGATGGCCTCTATGTACAAGTAAATTTATTATGTCTTATATTAAACTATAAATATTGAAAGCTAAAAACATGTTCACGTGAACCAAAAGAACTGAAAAAAAAACTAAACACTGATATTAGAAGAACAAATTTCGTTGTATACAGCTGGGCTCGATGTATCTTAATTGGCTTGTTGAAATCTTTTTTAATAGAACCAATGATGGCATCCTATATAGGTGATCATAGAAGGCTAGCACCTATATGAGTTCTACACTGCACGATCTATCTTTGTGTCTATGACATCAGTGTGCTATTTTTTTTATTGATATTGCATTTCTGCACTGAAATTAATGTTCCACGCAGATACAACTGCTCTAGCTTATACGAGATGCGTTAAATTCGATCAGCCGAACAACGCACTTGATAAATCAATATTTAGTTTTTGAATGGATTGCTACTGGTAGCCATAATGATATGTTTGAATTATGGTCACGCGCATCGGAACTCAATATGGCTGCGGTTCATGGCCATATTGAGTTCCAAAAGGTCTTCGTCCGAGACTTTTAGACAATCGGACTGTTTAATTGTTTCGATTTGTTATGATAGCTATATAAAAGCTTCCATTGGACAAACTATAAATTTTCGAACAGATCGTGATCACTAATTACAATCAGCGTTGACAACTAAGCCAACGTTGTTTTTGGTTGTAACAAGGTGCTCCATGCGTTTTCTACTAGAACGAAAAATGCTTTAAAACTTTTTAACTGTCACCACCAGAAACGTTCAGTTGAGACAAAAATACCCAAAAATACTAGATTTTATCGAATTCACACCACATATATAAGGAAACATCTAGTGTCCTCAAAAAGTGCTAACTTGTTTACATTACTTCTGAGGCTATCTACACAAATTAAAAAAAAAAAATTAACTCTCCCAGCGTTGGAAGATGTTAACCGTTCATGGTTACTCAGAGCTGTTCCACAATAGCTTGGAGTTCGGTCGAATACTTAACAAAAAACGAAGCTCGTAACTCGTTCAGTTTTCTTCATGATCTCTTAGTTTTTGTGAACTTCGTGTTGTGACGTCACCTTAACCGCGTTACCTGCGACAATGCGATTTTAAATGAAGGCGAAAAAGAACGAGATCCTATCGGGTTTTAGCTTTAGTGTCTAAATATGTTATACACAGTGGCCGGATTCGAACGACAGAGTACAAATTTTTAGTACTAAGAAACAAGTTCTAACATGGGTTGAGCGGTGTTACATTTTGAGCCATTATGCCCTACTTACTCATAACTGTTGTAAGAATAAACTGTTGCAGTAATCGATGCTGCAAAGCCATTACGGCAGCTTTAATGCCGCTAGTTGCTATTCTATAAAAGGATTCTGTCAAGTAAATGAAGTACATTTAAATTCTTTTCATGGAACTAGAAAAATTTCATTTTAAGACAATACTTTTACCAAGATATACATACAGCTCCGGCACGAACAGCAAATTTCGGTCAGTATGGATATGCCAGTTGAGAGGGTTCGGTGTGACACTTAACGTAAAAGTTTGCTATTTCTATACCTCTCTGCATAGAGAACTTGATGACCTCAATGCCATTGAATATTATACTTTTGACGCAAACCACGTACTCGCTAACTAATATAAATTAAGTTAAATTTAGTATAGCAAATTGAAATAGCGTACAATTTTGGCTGGTGCGTAAATATGTTAAAGGTTAGGACCCGTGCCTTAGTCAACGACCATTTTAAGTAACTTTTTTTACACAATGTTCATTTGATTCTGCTTTTTCTCTTAAATTCTTTCAAATAGATAGCTAAAATAACTTAATAGGGAAATAAGCTATTTCAGCTAACAAAGTTGAAATATAACATTTTAACCTGCGTTTCAAATTCTCATGTTCACTATCTTCCAGTAAAAACTATAGTTTTCTATCATTCTTAATACCATCAGACTAACTCCAAAGAAAAGCATTTAAGTTATATTTCTGCTGACACATTATAAAACATAGCCCGGAACACAATCGGGGAAAAGCACTTTCCAAAAAATAATTTATGATTTCTAAAACATATTAATTTTCTAATATCGATTTATAATATGACAATTTTATGGAAGTAGCTCCTTAACAAGACGAAACCTACCGTCATAACAGACTGCTGACTACATCTATTTTAGTCAAACCTAGCACTCTTACATTAGCGACTACCAGAGGGATACCACAATTTCTCTCCAAATATGTTTCATGATTGAAATCAAAATGTAAGATATGCGCCTGTGCAGGGGTAGTTCTTGCCATCTCATCCCCTCCTTAGGCGGGCGACTGCAGAACCTCGTATTCTGTACTGCGAAATTTTTCTCAAACAGCGACTTTACGCTATCAACTGTCCAATCTTATTTTTGTCCGTCATGGTTCTTAATCTGCACGCATAGCCAGAGGGGCTTGCTTTTTAATCTAACCGTTGGCGTCTACAGTTTGAAGATCTTTCACAAAAATGAAATAGGTACTCAGGTTAAACTAGTCAGTCATGAAAATCTACGTCAATCGACAAGCCTAGAGTCTCGATGCTTTAATTGAAAGACAATGTATCAAAACCCTTCATAATTAAAAAAAATTGATACAGACCGTCCCTCTGTTTTCTCTGTTCCCATTTTATTTACGTTTCAGTTACTCACATCTTATATGTCAGAGACACCGTTTAGGCCCTCTTTTTGTTATCTCAGCCTTACTCCATATTCCGAGTTTTTTAGCCTAACATTTGGTGTCGCCGTTAGGCTTATCATCAGACGGCTGGCTCCCAGCACGAAATCAAGGTACAGCACGAACAAAACGTCACTTTAGCCTGGAATAACTTTTAATCTAGCATTGCGAAAGGACGGAGATTGGCAAAAACATCAAGCGACATTTAATATATTTACTCCTTTTCTCTATATATTTTCTCTGTTTACGACCCCTCAAGTATTACATATCGTCAATGTTAATTCCAAATAAAATTTTTCAAGCGCTATCCGATTAGTCATGATTAAGATGGTCTTAAAAGCGATATTTGGCTCATTTACAAAAGCAGCGTCGGGTCAATGTCAGACACGTCCTGCATGACAAATATACTAAATCTTTATTTGGTTCATAAATAAAATAAAATTTATTCAAAAATAGTGTTCAGTGATGTTCCTAACTGCCTTTTAACTTAGCCGATGGCCCTTTGCTTCTTGAGACGGGTGCTTCGTATTTCGTTGATACATGGCCCAACTGTTAATAAATGGACGGAGATTCCAATCGATAATAGTACTAGGTCTCTAACAACCGTAGAACCTAATCGGATCATTTATAAACATACAAATCCATTGTCCTCCTTAAAAGTTGGCAAACATAACAACAGCAGTAAAACGTAAACAACGGAGTAGATGGATGACTGTTTTCAAACCCTATAGGCACTCTACGAAGCATCGAAGTAGGCATTTGTTGCCGATCTGCTTGAAGTAACAATGCAAGGAAACTAAGAACGACGCTGTTATTGTCTTTGATGGCTCGCCAATTTTAATTCATCAGCGAATGACATACGTAGTCACTAAACGCTTGTTTGATGGTCGAGACCGTTCGATACTAAGGCCCAGCCCTACAACTAATCGGTCAATCTTGACAGAGTTATTTTTACAAGCAAGACCAGAAGCTTTATTGTTGGTGTGTTTCTACTCGAATCGCTCGAGAGCTCCGTGAGCAACTGTACCGAAAGATAACCGCTGCCCCATAAGGCTTATATGCATTCAGTATAAATATGAAATACCTTCTGAAAAGAAAAATGAAAAATCAATTTGGAAGTATAATAATACGTTCATGAGAAGACTTCAGATATAAGCAGTTTAACAGGTATAAGTTAGGCTTAATTATGTAATAAATTTCAGCGATCAAACAGGGCGAGGTCCAACTAATTGGTTCACCTGAATCGATCTCGACATATTCCTAAAGGCCTTGTATGTTGAACAAATTAAAAAGCCATAACAAAGGGAGCAACGTAGTCAATACACGAAATTCCTTCAGCATGCGAACACGTGTGCACCTGACAATCTATTTAAGGTGACACCACCAAGGTCCTCGTGGTTAGTATCCCCGCCTGTCATGCGGGAGACCGGGGTTCGATTCGAGGTCCGGAAATAACATAAGACGACAACAATAAACTGGTTTCTCTTGGCGACTATCGTTTTGAGTGCCGATGCCTCGTATTGAAAAAACATGCTATTGTAGGGACCGGTTTCAAATCTAGACGTTACTACAATCGAGTGTGTAACAACGTGACAACGAATTTTGCCAAACCGGCTCACATCGAGAGTAGAAGCACTTGACCCATTCTTAGCCCATGGTCTAAGATGCTTCGGAGTGATTAGTGAACCTACAATATAACTTCCTGTAAACCTATATGTTCTGGCCTTGTAGGCGTAACTCACTGTCCTACAGGCAAACTTGTTATTTCGTTATCTATGCATACATGCATTGGCCAGCATGTTTAATCCTTAGTTAGGCAGGCTATAAAATTAGCGGGTCTACTGTCACCACCTGTTGCTTGTGTTCTGCCCAACCTAAGTCGTTGCCTAGTAGGCAGTGTTATGCTGTGTACCTGTATCGCCGGTATTGTCGTGCTTGCGCAGTGTGTCCTGTCTCCCAGAACGACATCTTTGAGCATGAAGCCCGGTTAACTTCAAATCTACGGTTGCTGTTTGCTCGGAGCACCTCTAGGGGTCGCTACCAGCGCCGCACCGACGGCGGGCAACCGACAACAATAAAGTTCGGACAGGAGCAGCAGCACCGGCGAGGCAGTTTCGACTAGAGAAGAAACACACGAAGGAGAGGATGTCCTGCTGCCGCTCAGTTCAGATCTGCGCTGAGGCGTCGTTGGACCGTTCGATCAGGCATCATCTAATACTGCATGGTCTGCCTTGCCGCTGACTGCTGTTGCTGACATTGTGAAAAAGTCCGACTATTTGAGTAGCGACGGCCACTGTCGATCTGGGTCTTTAGCTGTAGGTCTTTACCTGTAGCATCGGCCTGCTCATACAATACAGTGTAACCAGTGTCAATTAGTAGTACGAGAGTACCCCAAGCCAGTGCTCTTACGTGAGGTTGCCTACAATTAGCGTAGCGGCACACACATAGCAATAATAATCATACTAGCAAATGATCGAAGTGGTAAGCATCGACGAGATTAGAAGCGAACATGTGCTGCAAAGGCAATAGTAAGCGAAGAGTTCTGCCGTGTCGTTTCGTGTTGAAACACCCCAATTAGATGAAGTTGCATGTTGTGAGGGTGGCACAGCAACGAAGTCGAACAAGCCGTATTCAAGCTACAGCCAAAAGTTGTCAAAGTGACGAAGCAGTCCAACAGCGCTTGTCGGCGAGCTGAACTGGGTTAAGAAGTCTCGAAATAGGCTCGCAGTAGTCGACTCTGAACGAATCGGGCAACATGCTTCACTCACTGTTAACAAAATGCTGTAGTGTACCGCTGAATCGTTAGCGCTGCTGTTGTTGACTACAAAAAAAGGAAAAAATCGAAAAAACGACGAGGTGTAGTTTTAGACAGATTCTGCATTGCAAAAATATAAGACGAGTGCCCATGTGAGAAGCATTTTTAAAGTGATCTCGTTTATGGAAAGCAGTTTCTGGCTGGGTGACGAAATAAAAAAGAAGTCGTACAAGGACTTGAAGGACGCACAGCACATTCGCTGTGCCTTTGTGCAACCCCCAACAGCAGTCGAACGCTGCTACACCAGCAGCGTCGTACGGTGCAGAAGTCCAGCTGCGGCCATTTCTTTCGCTGCCAGTCTGTGCATTCTGCGGGGCAAAGCTGCCAAAACGTGTGCTAATTTCGTTATACCGCTGTTGCGAACAAATCGCCGAAATCGATAGTCACGAAAGTGGTCACATACATGAGCGACAAAACAAAAATTTGACGTGACAAATTTACTGTGTGAAAAAATTACTTTCGAAATGGAACATTATATTACTCACAACTAAACATGTTTTCATTGTGGCTGGATACCTGACCTGTAGCTATAGGCAGCTGCTCAACCAGCGGCAGCACCGACTGAAGCGAAGTGATTTGCTGGTTTCGCCGTACGCTGTACATATGTATATAATAAACGAAGGTCGTCAAGAAGGGATCCCCACAACGGCATCGACTCGTCGACTACTACCGCTACGGCATCTCTAACAACATGCTACAGCCAGGAGTAAATAAAAGGGTAAGCGATGCTGGGAAAACTGTTCGAAAACACAACCAAAATGAATGTCCAGGTACTTCAAGGTAAAGCCAGCGATCAAGGCCGAAGACCACAAACACAATTCAGAAGTATTACAGTAAAAGCTATCGTATAAGTGACAATATAGTTGGCCTGTTCGCCGATACTCACTGGATTACCTTGTAGCCCTGTGGCCTTATAGAGGACAGGAAAAAATGTAGACAATCAATCGCTTTTCGAAGCTTTCCGATGGATATGGATATGTGTATGGTAAAGCGATCCTTGATATCAGTTCGAATCAGATCAGCCCCATAGTGTGTAAGAAACATTTTTTGTTCACTACACGCCGTTGAAAACCCAGCAAGATTCTCTGTATTTCGCCCGCTTGCTCGTGCAGATTTTCCCGCTGGATACATGTTTTCCAGGTGATTTGTGTGCAAAGATTCGTTTGCCTTTCGATTTAGTTAGCGTCATTTAGTCGTCTGTCAAATGCTATCACTGCTTTACGGTGGTCGCGTAGTGTCCCTGAGTATAATTCCTTTTTCAGTATTCCGCTATTATGATGTGCGGTACTTCGACTATTATTGGCCGCGTGAGTATATATCGACTGTTCGAAAATCGATGCCGCCTTGTCTTTCTCCTGTTGCTTGATCGCAGACCCAGTTAAGTGGCCGCTACTTTTGGTGTTCGTATCTCTCGGAAGCAGAGAGCGATCTAGCGGGCTTTCATCTCGAGACTCTTTCATGTGTCCTTTCTCCACATTGCTCTTTCCCAAGTCGCTATGCTCTCGCGTTTGTGACTCTAGCAGGGCTCACAACGATCGGTTAAAGATTTGTTTACAAACGTTAGAGGAGGCTATAGCATCTTCACTCTGTAGCAAAATGCCTGTTTCCGTCGAACTCACAACATTTACCAATCGTTTTTGGCGTGTGAGTGCGTCAACATGAGTTGATACTATCATTATCTAGTCTATTCGATATTGGACGATTTGACAGATCTGTTAATTGGTCGAATAAGGATGATCTGAACGCTAATCTTCGTAAGCTCTGAAGATGATCCCATAGCTGACTAGCTAAATGCCCCGCCAAAACGTGCCGCCAACAACACCTAACACCTATGAACAGTCGCAACACTTCATATATACGACTGTATTACAAAATTCATATTGTAGGAGCGCTATTGCCTATCTGGCTATGTCTGCTGTTGCAGACTGCTCCATGCTGACCGTGGATACAAACGTTCAGTTAACAACTTTCTAGCCACTCTTTACAAAACCACCTTCACTGATGCCAACCTTCTAGAAGATAGCGGAAACCCCTCTTTCAGCTTCTTGTTTCTATCAATACATCCTTGTATTGCCATATTGACCTTTATTATTAGTGGTACAGGGATGCATGGTACCTCGCTGACCATTACTGTGTATCTCTTCATTCGCCTATTTTCGCGAAGGATCTGCTGGTCTACATCAAATCAATTCACTTGATATTCTGTGTATGGCAATTAAGCATAGCTCATACATGGAAAAGGCGCAAACGCTGAAGACAACATCGTGCGTAGTCTATTTCGAATAAAAACCCTTACTAATTCAAGTCATTAACATCTCGTGAAACAAATACTGTACAGATTTCAAATCTGAAACGAGGCAAACCGGTGTAATTCGATTAGGCCAGATCTTCACCAACGTTTCGACCTCATCACAGCGGCTCTCCTGCTTTTGCGACCACTATCGCCTAAGTCTGTCCGTCTTTTATTGGTGTCGCAGCGCTGTGAGAAACACGAAGATGTCGTCTGCGCCGGACCGTAATGTACTTCGTTGACAGTCTGTAGCTGTTCGACGTCATAAGTTTCGTTTCTAGCTGCCTGGCAGGTTGCTTGTTTCGTTGCCATTGCCGCTACTTCATTTGCGTCCTTTTCGACTTTCGAGCTGCTTCGTAAGCGGAAGAAAATAGTGGAGAACGAATCGTAGTTGGGGAGGGGGGGACCTTTTATTTCTCATATTTTCTCTTTCTTTCTTTTCGCTTTTTTGTCCGTCCATGGCATTACGAACGTAGCAGCGATGGCGTCGACTGCTGCTTCTCGTCCCCCCACCGTTGTCACATCACCGACCAACGAACCGAGTGACTGACTCATTGATTGACTGACTGACTGACTAGCGGCGCTATTTGTTTGGCTGCTGGGACGCTGCAGCAGCTCTTACCACACACTACGCGGAGTTCCCGTACTGCTTGGACAGGGTCTTTCTCGCGCGCTCTTCCGTTCTCCGCGTTTGTCTGTTAGTTCCCGCTGGCAGCAACGGTACGAATGACATCAGCCCCAGAACTCCGTTCATATTACTGTATCTGCATCCGCTACCCCACTGCCCCTACTGCTGTTCTTTGTAGCGGCTTCGGGATCTTCTTTCGGAGCTGAGCAGATCCATGCCAACCCATCATCAACGCGTATTTCGCACTGAAATACGCACGTGCAAATGCGTCTACAATGAAGGCTCGCGCTGCAACGGAGAGCAACAACAGCAGCTCCACCGCTGCTATCGGCTGACAACGGAATGCTAATGATTGATGGGATGAATCGGCAGGCGGCCGCCGCCACCGCTGCAACAGCCTCAGTTAGTCCGAGCTATAGCTAGAGTCCGAGGAAAAGAACGGGAACTGAGGCCGTCGGCACCAGCCACGCGGACTGCGTCTGTGTCTTGTCTATGGCCCCTGATGCCGCTGCTGGCTGGCAGGTAGGCTGCTACTGTTATTGTCGCTCTGCTTGCAGTAAGAGTCGTAGTTCTTAGCAGCAGCAGTAGCGGCGTGTTTCGTAGCCTCTTCCTTTTTCTTTTGCTGTTACTTTTGTCAACTTCTGTCTGTAAGCTTAGAATAATGTTTCATTCGTTTGTTGGTCCTAACGCTTGTCAGATTGGGGAGTTTGTCGTACGTTTACGTGCGCTTTAATCTGCGCGCCATCTGGCCATCAGAGGCCGCTCGCATGGTTATTCACTTGCTAGATCAGGCGCAAGGCAGGACTTAGGCAGACAATCGGGCTACAATGGGATTCGTTCACGTTCACCCGATTCGGGGCAGGAACACACAGTCTGGGATGGTACTGATTACCACATGTAACAATAAGGCAAATTATTTTGTCGTATATGCGTGAAACGTTAAGAAGGTAAACATCCGGCTACAGGGGAAAATTGTTGTAAATGGGCATTTGACAATTCTATAGACTTTCAATGTTCCTTGTATGAATACACACGTTATCGGTAAGTTTATCCTAAGCGAGTTGAGTAGTATGACAATATGATATGCATATACGCCTGGTCTCAAAGAGATATGATTGAAATAGAAAAACCATTTCCAACTTTATACGTTAATTATGTGAAGGCAGATTTCGGATATGTTTCATCGTTGAACAGGCTATATAAATGAGGGAAAGTAGAGCGCTTCCTAGCATATCTGTTGTTGTATGGGATTTATTCGTTGCCATTGATAGTAATATTGCTACCTTAAACAGGCCGATTTTAAGGCGCATCCAGATGTACACGAGGCACGCTATGAATTTATATTGTTTATATATTTTTTTTGAGTGAACGAAAGGCATGGATCGTAAAAAAGTGCAGGCTACGTTACATAGTTATTGTCTGTAAAAGAATAAAGCCCAAGTCACAGTGTCGCCCCAATATCAAAAAGTTGCGTATGTTTAACTAGACTGCATTCTGGATTGAGAACCGCAAATACTCATAGGCACCGAAAGAAGCGTGCAAAATTCTAAACGATCCCGTTAAAATAATCCACGAAAGATAAGGAATCGGGTAGCAATATGTAGCAAAGGAAATTGAAGTCAATTATTGACGCTTCGGTCAACATGCTAACAATTCCCATATACAATGGAGCATTTATCAGAAAGAACTGGAACGTAGTTTGTAATAACTTATGAAAAGGTAACAGGCTGTCCGCCACAGATGCAAGAATCGGAGTATTCCCCCCTCAAATATAGAAGCATGTTCCACGCTATTAAGACATTATGCCACCAACGTCCTGATAATAAGCTAGTTAGTAGCATTACGTAGTAAGATGGCAAAGGGCGTCGTGAGGTCCGAGAATGTAAATGTCTGGTTAAAAGCTCGAGCTTGACACAACTGATAGTCGGGCTTCTGTACGTACTACATGCTTATGTTCTAAACAACTATTCACTACCCATAATGCGTTCCGAAGTTTTCTGATCGGGTAATTAACGGTCGAGCAAAAATAGTTCCATCGGTCTGCATATATTTATGCTGTTTATGCTGTAAGGAAATCTAATATGCTTGCTATTCGGTAGATGGTATCACGAGCTGTTAGGTAACTTTTTCGCGCTGCTCTATAGAACCACAGCGGCTGGGGCGCATAACGCTTTTCCTACCCTTTGTTTTTAACCACCGTTAGTATTGTTAATAGTGGGGCAAGTGCTAGTATTGCAGTTACTGTATAGTACTTTGCGGTTGCTCGAATACTGTTCGCCGGACGCAGTAGCTGTACAGAATAGTAACAACTGTCGTAAGACAACTTAAAGATTTGCCCCTTGCCCTGATCTGCGTATTAGTAACAGAAAGACGAAAGCACTACCACACGACAACTTTTACGCGTACATACGTGGATGAAAGCATAGTTAGATGTATATACACTGCCACTTGTGAAGCTACTACTGTTATTTTTGCGGTAGTTGTTTCGCTATAGTAGCAGTGGAGTAGACATACAATTTTCTGCTTGATGGCTAGTGGCTGAGAGAACCTACCTTCGCAACCAGCGGCTAGAAAGACAACCGACGGGAATGCCAGTAGGTGCTTACTCGCGGTTGGATTGACAGATGGATGGACGGAAAGACAAGCGAAAACACAGATAGATAAACAGTGCACGTAACTAACGGTGGCCGAAGATCGCCCTGCGAGCAGATACACGCTCAGCAGACACAATAACAAATGAGAGACGTTGATGGCATCTGCTTGATTGCCGCCGTTGTTGCTCTTGTCGCCGCCGTCATCATTGACGTCGTTACAGCACTATCACCCTTAAATTCGTTCCATATACTACCTCAATCTGTTGTTACTGCCCGTGACTAAAATAATAGTGATAATAGTAGAATAACGGTAGGATAAGGATAATCTAAAAGCGTCGTTATCACAAGGTGGCGTCACCGTCTTTGCGTCCTTTTCCGTAACCGTCAAGCGAGCGAGCGAGTGGCAGTCGTAGCCATCATAGTCATCTTTGTTCGCTCTAAAACGACCGTGTATCGACTATCTTTGCCCAATTAGTAAGCTGGCTACGGAAAATGTAGAATTTCCAGTCGTATTGCGTTAGTTAATAATACTACGAAAATTAGCAGGAAGGACTGTTTATGAGATCAAATGAAATAATCAAGTCATTATCTCCTTAATTAGGTAAGGGAGTAGCATGAAGAATGGAAAACGACTGTATTAGAGAGGCCAATACGTTCTCAAAGAGCGCCACTAATAATGCTACATTACTAATTCATTGTACCATTGCCAGGGTCGCGTTGCTCTATTTTACAAATTTGCACAGTAGGAAAGATCAAGGTGGTAAACAGTTGTCCTAAATGTACATTTCAAATCCATCACTTAAACGAAATTTTCGTAAGAAGGACAGCTGACTCACGCCGCTTGGCGATGCCGCATGTTAATTTTTTTTAATTGATTAATTTATTATTATTACTAAATTATATTATAATTGAAGTTAAAAAAACTACGGACTAACAGATTACAAATGACAGACATAGTATTCAGGCGCCCAGATTCGACGAAAAAACGCAGTACAATGATCACATAGAGTAGGACAGATGTAATAACTTAGTCAGTAGTACCGGTTTTGTTTTTTAATATTGTTCGTATAGTATACGGACTAATCATGCCATTATAATCTGTTGTTCTCTGCGTTGTCAGCGCAACAATCCTTGACGCGAACGAATTTCTCGGAATGGCGCTGCTGTGCTAGTCCACGTCACCCCTTCGTCTGTTCACCGGATCAATCGAACAATCATTCTGCCGTTGAATGCTCGCGTGGGTAGCAATGACATCGATTGTGTAATCTTCGCAAATTGAAGTCAGCCATAATGCAAGCTATGCTTTGCGATTAAGAACGTAGAGTTTTCATCCTCATGCGCAACAATGAAGATGCTGATAGCATGGCCCATACCATCTTGGCATTATATATCCATTGTATTTCTGCATAAAACAGATCGCTATTCGGCCGTTTGCCTTTCATTTCTCATTCAATGGTTCATACACGAATGACGTTGTTGGTTCAGTTGAACGAAAAAAGCGGTGAGGACTTTTCTGTTGTCTACTGTCGTCATCAGCATTACCATTGCTGCTGTTGTTGTTGATGCGAAGAATATCTTTGCCACCGATCAATAGGGCACTGCTGTTTTTGTTGTTACCTATATTGTTCTTACCACTTTCAGCTGAATCGACACAGCCGGTCACCGCAATGGAACACATCAAACTATTGAATATGCAAGCAAACGGTCGTGTCCAACCGATTAGCGTCTGCGCTTTTGAGTTGTATCTAACCCCTGTGGGAATTTTTCATCTGTCTACAGATTTATGCATCCGTTAGCTGTCTGAAAAAAACAAAAAAAAAAAGCTATTGATTCATTCTATGTATCTTTCAATCAGGGAAATTATTCCAAGCTTTGAAAACTACTATTCCTTATGTAGTAAATTTCATTATCATTCGTCATTTTGAACCGATCCATTTTAGTCATGATCAAGTATCGGCAATGTTTGATGCCGAAAATCTGGGGAAACCCATAGAAATAACCTAACATTATATATATATATATATATACCGCAACGATGTTTTAGTTAGTATTTCGTTCACAGAAGTTATCCCAAACTGTAGAATGTTAATTCAAAGGTCGACAGAAACAAAATGTTTTCCATTTTCTTTTTACAAAACAATAAAGATGAAGAGAGCTAGGACATTCGAGATGAATTGAATCCTACACAGTGATAATTTTTTAATTAGTGTTCAAACAATATGAAATTGGTTGCTCTGGAACGGAGACGCCGAATATCATATCCCGAAGAATAGAACGTTGAAGGCGCTTACTGATCTGAAAACTTGACCTCTTTTATATCCTTTCTACCCTATTTCAGTAGCTAAGGGTTAAAGTTGAACAAGTGAACGCCTGAACTAAATTCAACTCAAGTATAACTGCAAATCAATTTTTACCGTTCTTTGGTTGATAAGTTTAGTTTTACAAACAACTGCATTAAAAGTGAGAGGTATAATATATTTAATGCTTGAACAAAGTGGATTTATGGCAAATTCGGCCAAAGTTGTTAGTTTCTGTACTAAGTAATTTTCACAGATTTTAGAACAGTAACCAAAATATCTGAGAAATCAGGACGAATGAACAGGCTGGCTTGACATTTTTTTTTCAAACATACATAGGCTATTTTGAATGCGTTCAAATTATAAGTAAATAAATTGAACAAGAATAACACAAGTCATCTGCTAGATAACATAGCTAGACATTAGATTTAAATGGGCATCAACGTTCGATAATAACAATAATAATAACAGTACATTCCAGTTAACTTGACATTTGAACTAGAAAAAAAAAAGAACGCAATCGTGTTATAGCGAAATTTTACGAAAATTCGAATTTCGGTGGTTATCTTCGTCCTATTATAATCGTTAAGTAAATTATTTTCGTGCGAAAAATCGCGGAAGAATAGGGAAAGTATATAAAACAACTATGTGAAAGAACCAGGTGTTTAATGAACAGGGAAATACAACGAAGCTTTAACCTTTGTAAAAGGCAGACACACACTTATGAAACAAGTATCCTTACAGTTAAAACAAAGCTAGCATACAGATTGTGTAACACACATTGCCAATTTCAAGACTGGTAGTTTTCTTAGAGAAAGAGTACGTTTCTTTAACTAAAAGACATTTGTTTTATATGGATATAGTAAAATCTCATCTCTATAAACTTCGGCCTGATGCTAAACTTGGCTTTAGACGAGACTGCGGTTGCATTTGTAGTTCTAAGACGACACAATGTTGTAGTGCATGAGTGTGCGTACGTGAAAAAGCCGCAAGAGGGCGCAAAGGAAAAGGGAACATCCACATAATCGTTGTGAGGTAGAAAAATCTCCCGGTCGTCTGCTTAATTTTCTGAAAAACTCACAAGCATTGCGTTCCGGCCAGCGCTTTCTCCTTTCGCTTCACCGTGTAAATCGGTCGGAATTGTCTAGCAACAAAAGACCAAAGGAGAAAAGAGTTAGTTCCTACGATAAAGTGTCAGTTGTTGTCTGAACTATCTTTGCCTCACCTGATCAGCTGAAAAACCGCTTTATCCTCTCCTGCCCTGCTGGAGTTCCAAAGGTGCCCCCGAATTGAGGTCTCATCGAGAAATTTACTTTCGCAATCTGATTCAATTTGCCAGCTTATCGTAATGGAAACAAGAAGATCCGTATAATAAGGTGTAGTGTCTATTGTGTTTTCACGACTTATGTAATAGCAGCAGTTGTTAATTGATCACAGTGAGGAATATTTAGTTTAGGCAGAAACATAGCGTATATTACGTAAGACAGCAAATGCTATGGATATACGGTTCTGATATATATATTCTAATATAAATAAAGTTTGTAACAGAAGTAAGCCGCACTGTTTTAGGCTTCTTTGGGTACGCACGGAGGAATTCACCTATACGAAAGCCTTCACAATCGCTCTTTCGCCAAAATATCAATTTTCCACATAATACTTTAAGTTGTTTTCTATAAAATTATATTTCCAATACGTGGGACGAGCCCCCTAGCATTAATCAGCCAGAGCTTTGCGCGTAGACTAAGATAATAAATCTTATAAGGATACGAGTGAATAAACTCTTAAAACATTGCAGGCATATGAAGGATTTATGGGCACGTTTTGTTGGCCTGACAGTACGTACTATACACTACGTTACGACGCAGTTCAGTAATTAGGGGATTAAATAGGTCCTTCATGCGGTATCGAAACTCCTCGTCGAGGTCCCTCTAAAAAGAAAAGCGCCATCTCAACCATCCCAACGATTACAGTTAAAATGAATCATCATAAACCATTCATCATAACGATGCAATTACGCAAAGCAGTCTCCAAACATCGACCGCGTTGCTCTCTCAAAAGATTTTTCCCGTACGCGTATATATATATATATATATACGCGTTTAAAAATAAACGCTTAAAAATGTTGGCTGTTGTCTTACGCTGGGAATGATTTTAGTTTTACTGACAAAAGCCAAGACTCCGTACTTCACAGTCAGTGGATGTCTTTTCCGTCGTTGATAGCTTATCGATAATCGCGAAGACGATCAGATGAACAACACTGAAGAAAAGTAAAGTGCTTGATCCGGTTATTACTATGATTTTGTCGTCTTTGCCAGAGTTCTTCGACTTGGAGCTTAGGTCGTTTTGTGATATGCTGTTATTTGTAAATGTTTGTTTGTATTTTTTGTCCTATTTGCCGGTGTATAGACATCGAACATATACGCATTTCGACTACTTGAAACTTAAAATGAATCGATCAGGTAACGTTAATCGGTTTTTACTTATGAGATTGCGCGATACGTTTGTACATAAACATAAGTGTGCAAAAAGTACGGAAAGCATTCAACTTAGCATATTAGGCAATAGTAATTCAACTTGAAGGATTGATTCAGCAAGCGTTCATAATTGTTACGTAGCAGAACAGAGAGAACACAGGTGCAGTTGCTTTGCTACCCCTTAACGCGGTAGCCAACTTTAAAGGCTAGCCAATTTTCATTTTCTATTCGTATATCGGTATCATACACGCAGATGAATTTGACCGTTAATCATCCGTTGCGCCGCACCGACTCGAAGCAGTTGACCATATTTTTTCCGACTTATTGAAGATCCCATTAAAGAAACAATACTAGCCAAAGTGCATGCACAAACAGACAAAGTACGGACTTTTCCTTTCAAATAGAGCTCAAAAACTCTTGCAGTTAGGTCACTGATCAGTGTGACGATAGCCAAGACAAAGGTCAGCTTTTTCCTGCTATTTTCACGGAATTAGAATATTGCTGACGAGCGAAATCTGCAAGAATAATAAGAATATACAGCCACAGCAGGTCAGGTCATAAAAAAGTGGTTAGGGGTAAGTGTATATATATCTATATATCTATCTATATATATATATATATATATCTATATATATATATATATATCTATATATATATATATCTATATATATATATATATATATATAATGTACGTGAAAGAGCAAAATTCTATCATAGTATTTCTAGTTCGTCGGTCTAGCGGATGTGCAGTATCAGTATAAAAGAGCGCAGCGCGATGCAACGCAGAACGGGAAATATCGATAGTAAAGCGGCTGCATAGGGGAGGCATGTTCGGGAAGCGAACAGGGTAGAGGAGTTGCGACGACCCAACGCCTCTGCTGGGTGTGGTGCGTCCAGGGGCCGCCAAAGGAGAATACACTTCCTGAATGCTTATTGTGGTTGAATGGCTCGTTTTGTATGATATGATTATCGTGGCGTGCATCGACGACTTCGCCCCATCTAGTGCGCAATATCCTAGCAATATTTATATCTGACAAAACGTTTCAATAGATCGAATATGCCTTTGCGGATGCGTGTACCATGTGAAATGCTCCTTCGAAGTTGTTAACTTTGCAAATACGTAACATGAGCACAAACTGGGGTTACGCATACACACGAATAGAATGCTCGAAATACTATTCGAGCTAAGGAGTAGAGCACGTTCGTACGGCGTGAGTACATCATCAAAGCTAACATATCAAACAAAGGAAACCTACCTAACTAAATGAAGTAAGACGGTATACACTCATACGGTGTTCTACGCAAAAAAAATTATATTGTTATGGTGAGCAGAGGTTGAATATATAGATAGTAACATACGCAGACTCAACGAACAGTCATGTCTATTGTTCTTAATTAGAGATGAAACGTTATCGTAAACGTTGATTTGTTACCAGTCGACTTCTGGGCATGGAAAGTTCTAGTTTTTTGTGTTCTATTGAGTAGTCTGATGCCGCTAATGTGGGTAATGCACTCTTTAAATGCTTTGGGTGCGTCTAAGTGGCAAAAGTGATCTGCACTTATTTCGTTACTGATTTATTTCTGTATGATCAAAAGGCTTTGCATGACGTACCTTAGGAGCCATACTGAATAAACTGATCTTTAAAGGAATAATAGTATCCAATGAAAGCGGGTATAAGAGATTCGTTATTACCACGCAGTATCGTGGCCTTTTTAAGCAAACATTGAGCTCTGGCATAATCTTTTCTGCCGTAGTTCGACTAGTGTCGCAACTGACTGTGTAGCTGCAGAATTTTGCAGCGAGTCGTAGCAATAACCCAACGCTTTGCCATACAACGCTGTAAACAGTAAATCGCTGGGATTGTTATCTATTATCGGCAGTTCGTGTTGTTATGTCGGAACATTTCATTCTATCGTTTTTCATACACGCACTGGGCGCAGCGACAACGACAAGCCAGACGGTGGCTGGAAACGTAGCATAGTTAGCCGGGTGAAACACGGCGTTGGTGGGAATGTTGGGGCGCAACGGCGGGTAGTTCGTAACATCACCGACCTGCCGCCGTCATCATTTTCTCTAAGCTGCCAACCGCGATCACGTTCAGCATCATGATCCCCACGCGCGGCGCGGCGTTACCGATGGCGTAAGATGGTGTTAGAAATAAGATAAAATCAAATCTTTTTAATAGGCAACTCTGTGATATAGTGAAAATTGCGATATCATGTTGTAATATTGGGTTGTCGAAAAGGTATTGATCGCTTGTAGGCCAAAATTGAAATATTTTTTTCTATATTTCAAAATAATATTTCTATATTTCAAAATAATGCACTGTTTTGTGGGATTTGCGCATCTATTTATTAAGTAGTAGGCTATATGGCAAATGTATTAGAACTTCAAATCGAAGTCTTTTCGGCTAGCTAAGGATGTATATAGTTTGACATTGTCATGACGCTTTTTCTGTTCATTAGTTCCAGTTATTTTTTAGTGGCTTTTTGTAATCCTATTGATTGTTAGCGGCAGAAGTCGGAATCGACCGTTTTGCCAGGCGGCAGGACTTCATAACGCACGATATCTTTCCAGTCCCGTTAAGCACGTAGCGTCACTTTCTTTGGCGTCAGTCTAGTTTTTTGTCGCAGATTATGAAGCACATTTTTTTCCGACATATTATTGCCGTATGTGATCTACTTTCGATCACCTGTGATCAACCACACTAGAAATGGCTCGATTTCGTTGCGTTTCTGTGATGATTCGCAGATGAAAATAGGATCGAGTAAATTCGTCTGCGTCAATTTGTGTAGCATCGAAGCGTCGAGCTTTTTTTGTAGCTTGCCCTGCTCAAATGCTTTAAAAAAACTATTTGGTCATAGATATTTATTTTCTTAGAGCGTTCATGCTATCATGGCTACTCACTTATGGGTTTTGCCCAACTTTCGCATTTTTTATCAACTTTTTCCGTAACATGTCGAACACTATGCAGGACATCTTTCACGTCGAAATTTCCCGCAAAAGCGGGAAAACTCGTTTTTGGTCGTTCTTTCGATAACGTTATATTGGCAGCACAACTTTTTTCATGGACCGTACTTGGGCCTTTATCGTCATAAAATTGTAAAGTATGGCTTTAAAGATACTACTTTTTCAAACTTTTTTTTTGCAGAAACTGTACATAACTTTAAGGCGCTCTAACTTCAGTTTAAATAAAGGCATTCCAACAATCTTAGCACATTTATTGCCGCTTTAACTTACAAGTGGCATCGACCCGACACGACTCCTGGGATACGTCACGTTAAAGCAAGTAATCTAGCTAGAAATACGGTCAAGACCTGTTCGAAAACCCAATATTTACAAAGATTTCATTAGTCAATTACTGTTTGGGTTCCCATATACGTTTAAATAACTAACAAAATAGCCCAAAATAGCACCCAGATATGGAACAGCTGACATCGAAACGTGATAGGGCGTTTTAAACGGATTGTGATCAAGTGTTAAATACAGTAATATCGATTGGTAAAAGGAAACAAGTGCTTTCCTACTGCAAGACAAGGGACACATATAGGTAGTAACCAGCCTGATAAACAGTAACGTTGTGGAATCGTAACAGCTAAGGCACTAGTAGAAGGGCTGGACAGGATAAAGCGATGCTTCTTGTAGTCCTGTTTGTATTCTCAGTAAAATTAAAGCATTTGTATTAGAATTGTAAGCTAAAGACGCGCTTGGAAATGAACAAAGACAGATACTCAAAAAGTTAAAATGACTAATTAAAAAAGCCGAACACTTCAAATAATATAAACCCACCATAAAACATTATGACGGCGGTTTTTACCTAAAATCAGGAATCGCATAGCAAATTCAAAATTATTTCATACCGCCTTCCCATAAAGAGACGGGTTCAGGACTATATAGAGCCAGTATTGTACAATTAGCAAATACGCTGCAAGCAGGCCAGAAATTATTTGTGTTTTTACACTGGTTTTCACAACCGTTTCCCGAATCGTTCGTTCAAAAAAGTTAATTTGTGTAGAATTTCTACTGTTTCCTTTATGCTATCATTAGAAATAACTGGTGCCGCTAGAAGGGACAATAATAATAAAAGTTTATTCATCAGAACATTTTTGCTGTATGGCTGAAATGGGGCTACTGCAGTTCATTCATTTTCAAAAAAATTCAAAATTCAATTCACTTGTACTATCAGCCCATACAGCCTTACAAATGAGGTTATATGGGCTACTGGTGATTTTGTGCGAAGAGCTCAGTCAATCAAGAAAGTTAAGACAAAAATGCTTTTTATCTACCATGAGGTGCTATAATTATGGCTAGATAAATGGCTGAAGCTTTTTATTCATTTGCTAATGTAAGTGAGTCAAAAGTTATTCGTCTACCATAGGGCCACAGTAAGTTTTGTCGCGCAGCGTGAAGCCGATCCTTTCGTGAGCTAGGACACTGACACGTGCACAAGTGACGTGTTTTTTATCGCAGAGGGACGAAAAATCATGCTAAATATGCATAGTTATCTAAAGCTAACATCTATATAACTGCCGTGCATCATTCAAGTGTAAATAAATTCTGATCTACAGTCATGATTATAATATAATACATACATCGACAACATTGGTTCATCTAAACGATACGTTATTCCAATAAAGGTGTGAAGATTTTTCCTGGAAAACCAGCCTCATGTGACATATCGTAAAATGATGATTGTAATATCAGCGTTCTAGTATAAATTGATCTAAATACACATGGACGCATTCCTACTAACCTGAAATGTACTCGAAAACCAGTCGATCCTTCCAGTTCTTCTTTAAAATTAGCATCAACGGCGTCGGTCTCACATGTGCTCAAAATGCAATAACCCATACTGCCTAACGTCACCTCAACTGATATAGTGCTCACATAACGTAACTTTCTGTAATAACCTTTATATAAAGTAACTTATGTTCAGTTTGTTTCTGAAAAGATGGCTTTGGTACAAGCTAAATTTTGATGGAAAAACAAGGCGGTCTTGATTTTCAATTGTTCAACAAAAATTCGGTTTCATAGTTAGCTTTCGTACACAGCCCTGCTCCTTTTAGTAACGTCAACCGCGTATTTTTTTGTTCCGTGTAGCCATCTAAAATTTTTGAAAATTTGATAATATTAATATTTCAAAGTAATTTTTTTTTCGCTGGGGAAAACGGAGAGGTACAGCTTTGCCCTGTTTCATTCATCCCTGTAGCTTTGCGAAAAGGTTCAAAGTAATTTTTTGATCATCATTTATACGTATAAATTATATAATTTCCGAATATGCTTGATGTCTTTTATTATCTACAGAAAGTTGGCCAAATATGTAGTTTCCGCTCAAAGGTGCTATAGTTCAAGGCCTGTTTCAATGGTCTTAAATAAGCACTTATTCATTGCATTGTTAGTGAATTTTCAAGTGCTGACCTAGTAAATTTCATCGAAATGATTCGGCAGATAGAGTTTGTGAAGGCGCTAAGAAGGTATGCATCGAAACTATCAGTAATCCTAATTTGGGCAAATGAAACATTAATTCTTCATATACGGTCAGTTTTAGCTAATTTTTGGGAAAGTAAACATTCTAGTTGAGAGTAGGTACCATTGTATCAATTCGACTACGTTCAAGTGTCGTAGCATCTACCTTCTACTAAATGCTGGCGAGTGACAGAAGCAACAAGTGTCAGACGTTCTTAGTTGAGGCAATTTACTTTATATTGCATAAGGCGAGGCGTAATGTACATATAGGGTAGATATACACAGAAATATCGTGAGTGTAGTGCCCATAGATTTGTAGCCTATTCTCTTTTTCCGTCGAAAAATCCAGCGAGCTTTCTGCGGGTCGCTATCGTGATGTCAACGCTCGTTTTTTGTTGGAACGCACATGCACTGAAAAATCAATCAGCGTCAACAAGTGTCGACCGGTAGGCGCTCGACTGATCGAAAAGCATACCAGAAGACGCCTAGTGATCCTGTACAGGATAGAAGCTGCAGAGGGTCCCAATTTGGGGGGTATTTGGCTTTCGGGTACTCAATCTAAATTGAGGTCTCCAATTATATAGCCACTAGAGACAGAGACAAAATGTCAGCTTCGAGTTGATATAGTCGACCTGGGTTTTTGAGATATATTTTGAGGCATCGGCGAGCACATAACATACAGTACGTTTTTTCTAATCATCAAGAGCCTACGCAATTTCAATTCGTTGAACATATTTACCTATTTCATGGTCGCACTGAAAACAAACATATTTGCAAAGACCAGTCTTCTAGCGGCCTGTGTTTATTCGGATGGCCTTCGTAGCAGACGAATGTGTACTAAGGAAATGTTTTACTTTGCATTGACTCAATTGGCCCATATTGACAATTGTCGCGCATTCCCATAGCAATTACAATTGTGTTCTGCTATTTCCTGTATTTTAATGGCATGTATTAGAAACGTTTTACTACCCGCACCACGAAATCCCTATAGTTGTTTACATCGTTTTTATTCTCTCTGTGGTTCAATACGATAACGCGGTTCTTATATTTATCACAATCATAAACGTTTTAGTTGTGGAATCAACTGGAATTCCCTAATCTTTTATTGTGTTCGCATGCTGTAAAAGCGTTTAGAATTCTGCAAAAGACCAGTGCAATTTTTTCTCCGACTACCGTTAAATACAGGCTTTATTTACTGTTAATTCGCGATTAGCTCAAGCGCAATTTCGTCATTAAATAGGAGAGCGTTTTAGTAACCGCTATAGTATCAGCTGGAGAAGATAGCATTTGGCAGGAGTTAGACTTCCGAACGATGTGTACACGGGCGCAGATTTCAGGAACGCTGTTTCCTTCGTGAGATCATTGTAGTCTAATGGGACCAAGTAATTAGGCCTTTCAGCCCCGTTTCCTTTCTGAAATGACCCTCCTGTTATTCGTTCACGACCAGTAAAAAGTTCTTCGTCCGGCACCATCGTTAGGTGCCACATCAGACGACTAGCTACCACGCACGGAACGTAGAGTGCCCACGCCTCCTGATACAAACCTGAACTATTACATTCGTTCACGACGACTGTTCGCTCCGAAGCGCACGCTATATGACCAATAAGATAAGATATAATCAAATACATATTTGTAGCGAGACGTGACAACGAACAACGTACGAATTAATATGTAGCGTGATACTTAACTGATCATGTATTTTCATAGAATAAATAAATGGTCCGCAATAAAAGTCACCATCATGAAATTGCGTTAATAATTTATTTATCATATTGCAAAAATTTTGTAAGATATGAAGGGCGTCTATGTCACAAGCCGGCTACCGTTAAGGTAATGTAACCATAGAATATTACCGACACCAACTGGACAGCTTGAATGGTTATTTTTTATAAAAAATGATCGTCGGTTGTTTCGGATCTTTCTAACGGCCGTCCTTGGTCTTATTTCGATACCGGTATCGAATAGTCAGCGATCCAACTAGTTCAAGTTGCGTTAGGGTCTACCCATACAATGCAAGTCTCATAACAGGCACACTCTTTGAAAGTTTAAAAGAAATCTACGGCCCTTGTCTACATTTTCAACTGTTACGACAAAAACAACGGTAATATTTTCGCCGAGGTACTGACACATGTTGTTCCAAAAATTGTATCACAACTACCACAAAAATAACTGAAAGTACAGGCGATCTGCAGTTGACGTCTTTAACTTGTTGTGAGAAGTAAATTCTGTTATTTTTTTACGAATTATCGATTACAATTACGAAGCACAAATTTCGAACAACACGATCTTAGTAGCGTGTCCCTTGAAAATAGAAAAGCTTCAGTTGTTATTAAATGTTTTTTTATTCGTTTGTCTCGCTGTGAATCTTCGCTTTGAAGACTCACCTTTCCCACTCGGAACAGTAGCAAGAACGTCAACTGTAGCAGAAGCGGTTTCGTGCATATTCCACGTTCGTATAGTATCGATTTGTTGTGCTCCTTCTTTTCACGAAGTCGATGCATGTCCCTGCTTAGTTTCGCGCTCACACCACCGTCCCTCTCTGTTTTTTGAAAGGCGAAATATTAGCCAATTTTACCAATGGCTACTTCGCCCCCCAGCGTCATAAACGTCATACGACCATCAAACAGTCTCTGAACACTGGAAGGGGTCTGGGAAGGTAGACAGACGCATAGATTTATAATCGCACAGGTTTGTTACATGTGGAGAAAGTGAATATTGCGTTACTTAAGCTTTCGCCATTAGCAAACCCAGAATCGCCACTATCCTACGTCCGCTACGGCAGTCCACAGTTGTACGCAGGCAAGTAGTTCTGGAAGACATTTTGGCATTGGCTTGTTGCACCCTAACACGCCATTTAAAGCCGCAGAGAAGTGGAAAAGGATAATGTTTCAATTCGCTTACAACGAAAGCTGATCAGAACTGCTCAACTCAGCAGGTAGTGTAAGTCGAACATCCTTATCTGTTTGTGAAGCTATACGGAGAAAAATGCCGCTCGTAGGCTGATAGGTCAACATATTTCACAACGGGAACGGCCATCGAGATTACGATGAAGAAATCGAACGAGTCGATTAATATCTCATTTGTAGAATTCACTGACGTAGATGCTAGCCTTCGTGGAAAAATAGTCTGCTAGTAATAATACTTCTATACTTAACTCTTATTAAGTTTATGTGTGTTGCAATTACATTAATTTTCTATATTTCTCTTTTCTCAGCTACCAATATAAGTGTTTCTAGGTGTCGCAATGTTTTCGTCTTTATGGCACTGCTGATAAATGTCGAGAAAGATGGAATCATTTTATGTCCAAATATTTTCGTGCGCATATGTCATAGATGGATGGATTATTACACACATGATTATGTCACCCTTTTAAATCTCAAATCAAAATAGCTAACGTTGAACAGATTATCCAACTGCAATTCGTGGTGGTAACCTGCCTATATAAATATCAGTGAAGATAAGAGAGCAATTTACGAACATTACCTATCATGGCCTATTTGAAATGGCAGTTCTAAGGCCGCGAACTTATCGTGTAGCAAAGTTCACTAGCTTTGCTAACAAGCAAGTTGAATATCCTTCCATTTGTACATGCACTACGTATGTTTATTGCTAAATGTAATGCTTAGATATATATCATTTCAGTCATCTCGAATAAAAGCAATTTTTTTAAAAGCCGATGCAAATGAATGCTTCAACGTAAATACAAAACTATGCTTGTTCTTCTTTTTAATGACGTTTCTACCAGTCAATTTATGTTTTTAAATTTATTGACCCTGGCGATGTCGTTTATTTGCTTGTACACATACCTGAGAAATTAGGAAAACCCTTAGAGAAATGCATTAACAGGAACTCATCTATAAGGCTCACTAATTGGAATTTTTGCGCTATTCCTGGCCAGTTGCCCGTTATAACGACAGCACCGACTATGGAAATGACAGGTGTCAGCATCTATGTGTCCAACACCACCATGATGTCTGAGGAAATTGGGCTTCACTCGTAAACATTGAAGCAGCATATCATATATCTGATAAAGTCTGGGACCTGCTGGGTGAAATCAAATAAAATTACATTATATGGAATCAGGTAGATTCTAAATGAAAGCGGCGTACTATGCTAGTCAGGCGCGTCGTAGTTCTCTGTTTACTGAGTTCTTTAATGTGTTCTTATTATATGATGGTAAGTATCAAAAATATATTTATTTCGTCTCATCCACATCACCTATAGGTCGTGTCTTTCTTCTAGTCAATTAGAACGTGCTCGAGACCAAAGTAACGTTTTCTTTGTTGAAATTATGCAGCGATAGTCGTATCTGGTTGTGAAGAAAGCACAAAATGTTCTTCACAACCAGTTTTTTGTTACTGTTGACTGGGCGAATAGTTTCGGGGTTACACGGTTAGACTAGGCCTAATCTATTCTCTGTTGGAATTGTAGCAATCCGAAGTTGGTCAGACACTCAGATTGTTTGTGGCATATTGAATTTTTGGAAACATTTCAACGCTTCCCGTTCGTGTAGACGCACAGTTTCGACCGTTGGTGAGCCTGTTTCGGGCCGATAGTTTGAGGGATGAATGAGCTTGGTAGGGGTAATGACCACAAAAGTTGCTAAACAGACGTAAGAGATAAAGGTGCGCCTGTAGCTTGTACAGGCTGTGCCGTCCTTTACGAAACAGTTACGTGCGCTTAACGTGATTGGTAAAAGGCGATTATGTATCCATGCAGATCTCGCTATTTTTCCTTATCAAGTAAACGCCTTATACAGACCCATGCAGAAGGACCTATGGTATATAAATAATCGAAAATTTCAATTATCTAGTTAGGGTTTGTTCTTTTTTTAATTTTCTCTTGTTTTATGGCGAGAAGCCTTACCGAGCTGGACTGACGGAGAGGTATCTTCTATTTACGTATGGCCTTAATCATGCGTTATATCTTTTCCACTGACACGCAGAGAATTTATATAGGTATTTCTTATTGGTATCAACCTCTGTCGTCTGTCATTAAATATCTGTCAGGGAGACGCTTAGAATAGCCAAAGCTTGCGTTGGAAGACGTTCAGTGGACGAATGGTACGGGGTAGAGGGCTAATCAATAGGAACCAACATACTTTATCAGTCGGTCAGTTTGTCAGATGATGATAATCAGTTTTGAGTGTGTTCATCAGCCATTCCGCCGTGTCATTGCTAACGCGGTGCTTTACGTCATTAGTTAAGAATGGGTGATCCCGTAGTATGGCGCTGTAGACGCCTTTTCTCGTGTACATAGATATAATAATAATATTCGGTGGTGTACCAGCACATGTGGGGGAATGCTAGTCTCAGTTGTGAGTGCGAGCGGCTTATCGCACACGGCGAGATGTTGGCTTCACTTACGTGTGGTTGGGGTGATACGGGGTAACGTTAGTCGGTCGGTATGTGTGGCACTACCGATTTTTACTCGTTTACTGTGAAGATTTGTTAATTTAGAGTTGAAAAGCAAAACGATTACGACAGGAAGGACGATCGCTATATTGGATCAGCTCTATCAACCAGTGGGCTTAAAAGGTGGAGCAAGTCTAAGACCTAGATGGGGCACTCTCGCGGAGAGTGCCGGCTAGAGGCACACACAGAGCAAAGTGAGCTGTCTAACAGCGTTTCGCACAGCGGCATTGCAGCAGCCTCTGCATAATATGTCATATTTTCAACCAGTTGTTCAAATTCTGCCATAGCAGTTGCGGCCGGTTACCTGGATCTTACGAGCAGTTATCTTCGTTGCCTATGCCTATCTGAACTTG